GGGTTCCTATCTGCAGAAACTGTGTAATGTGTGGTTCCCATCTACAGAAGCTGTGTAATGCCGGGTTCCTATCTGCAGTATCTGTGTAATGTGTGGTTCCTCTCTGCAGTAACTGTGTAATGTGTGGTTCCCATCTACAGAAGCTGTGTAATGCCGGGTTCCTTTCTGCAGTATCTGTGTAATGAAGGGTTCCTATCTGCAGTAACTGTGTAATGTGTGGTTGCTATGTACAGAATCTTTGTAATTCGGGGTTCCTTTCCGCAGTAACTGTGTAATGAAGGGTTCCTATCTGCAGTATCTGTGTAATGAAGGGTTCCTATCTGCAGTAACTGTGTAATGTGTGGTTGCTATGTACAGAATCTTTGTAATTCGGGGTTCCTATCCGCAGTAACTGTGTAATGTGTGGTTCCTATCTGCAGTATCTGTGTAATGTGTGGTTCCTCTCTGCAGTAACTGTGTAATGTGTGGTTCCCATCTACAGAAGCTGTGTAATGCCGGGTTCCTATCTGCAGTAACTGTGTAATGAAGGGTTCCTATCTGCAGTATCTGTGTAATGAAGGGTTCCTATCTGCAGAAACTGTGTAATGTGTGGTTCCCATCTGCAGAAGCTGTGTAATGCCGGGTTCCTATCTGCAGAAGCTGTGTAATGAAGGGTTCCTATCTGCAGTAACTGTGTAATGTGTGGTTCCTATCTGCAGTAACTGTGTAATGAAGGGTTGCTATCTGCAGTATCTGTGTAATGAAGGGTTCCTATCTGCAGTAACTGTGTAATGTGTGGTTCCTATGTACAGAATCTTTGTAATTCGGGGTTCCTATCTGCAGTAACTGTGTAATGAAGGGTTCCTATCTGCAGTATCTGTGTAATGAAGGGTTCCTATCTGCAGTAACTGTGTAATGAAGGGTTCCTATCTGCAGTAACTGTGTAATGCCGGGTTCCTATCTGCAGTATATGTGTAATGCCGGGTTCCTATCTGCAGTAACTGTGTAATGAAGGGTTCCTATCTGCAGTAACTGTGTAATGAAGGGTTCCTATCTGCAGTATCTGTGTAATGAAGGGTTCCTATCTGCAGTAACTGTGTAATGTGTGGTTCCTATCTGCAGAAGCTGTGTAATGCCGGGTTCCTATCTGCAGAAGCTGTGTAATGAAGGGTTCCTATCTGCAGTAACTGTGTAATGTGTGGTTCCTATGTACAGAATCTTTGTAATTCGGGGTTCCTATCTGCAGTAACTGTGTAATGAAGGGTTCCTATCTGCAGTATCTGTGTAATGAAGGGTTCCTATCTGCAGTAACTGTGTAATGAAGGGTTCCTATCTGCAGTAACTGTGTAATGTGTGGTTCCTATGTACAGAATCTTTGTAATTCGGGGTTCCTATCTGCAGTAACTGTGTAATGAAGGGTTCCTATCTGCAGTATCTGTGTAATGAAGGGTTCCTCTCTGCAGTAACTGTGTAATGTGTGGTTCCCATCTACAGAAGCTGTGTAATGCCGGGTTCCTATCTGCAGAAGCTGTGTAATGCCGGGTTCCCATCTACAGAATGTGTGTAAAATGTGGTTCCTATCAGCAGTAACAGTTTAATGTGTGGTTCCTATCTGCAGTAGCTGCGTAATGCCGGGTTCCTATCTGCAGTAACCGTGCAATACCGGGTTCATTTCTGCTACTTTGTCATGTGTGGTTCCTATCTACAGAACCTTTGTAATTCGGGGTTCCTATCTGCAGAAACTGTGTAACGTGTAGTTCCTATCTACAGAATCTGTTGAATGCCGGGTTCCCATCTACAGAAGCTGTGTAAAGCCGTGTTCCTATCTGCAGTAGCTGTGTAATGCCGGGTTCCTATCTGCAGAAGCTGTGTAAAATGTGGTTCCTATCAGCAGTAACAGTTTAATGTGTGGTTCCTATCTGCAGTAGCTGCGTAATACTGGGTTCCTATCTACAGAAGCTGTGTAATGCCGGTTTCCTACCTGCGCTAACTGTGTAATGCCGAGTTCCTATCTACAGAATCTGTATAATTCCGGGTTCCTATCTACAGCAACTGTGTAATGTGTGGTTCCTATCTGCAGAAGATGTGTAATGTGTGGTTCCTATCTACATTAACTGTGTAATGCCTGGTTGCTATCTGCAGAAGCTGTGTCAAGTGTGGTTCCTATCTACAGAATCTTTGTTATTCGCTGTTCCTATCTTTTTAATTTGTGGTTCCTTTCTGCAGTAGCTGTGTAATACTGGGTTCCTAGCTACAGAAGCTGTGTAATGCCGGTTTCCTACCTGCGGGAACTGTGTAATGCCGAGTTCCTTTCTACAGAATCTGTGTAATTCCGGGTTCCTAGCTACAGCAACTGTGTAATGTGTGGTTCCTATTCCTATCGGAATGCCAGATTCCTATCTGCACTAGGTGTGTAATGGGTGGTTCCTGTCTGCATGAACTGTGTAATTCCGGGTTCCTGTCTACAGAATCTGTGTTATGCCGGGTTTCTTTCAACAGTAGCTTTGTTATGTGTGGTAGTTATCTGAAGTAACAGTGTAATACCGGGTTCCTATCTGCAGAAGCTGAGTCATGTGTGGTTCCTATCTACAGAATCTTTGTAATTTGGGGTTCCTATCTGCAGAAGCTGTGTAATGTGTGGTTCCTATCTGCACAAGCTGTGTAATGCCGGATTCCTATCTGCAGTAGCTGTGTAATGGGTGGTTCCTATCTGCAGTAACTGTGTAATTCCGGGTTCCTGTCTGCAGAAGATGTGTAATGTGTGGTTCCTATCTACAGTAGCTGTGTAATGTGTGGTTCCTCTCTGCAGTAACTGTGTAATGTGTGGTTCTTATCCACAGAAGCTGTGTAATGCCGCGTTCCTCTCTGCAGTAACTAAGCAATGCCTGTTTCATATCTGCAGCAACTGTGTCATGTGTGGTTCCTATCTTCAGAATCTTTGTAATTCGGGGTTCCTATCTGCAGAAGCTGTGTAACGTGTAGTTCCTATCTACAGAATCTGTTGAATACCGGGTTCTCATCTACAGAAGCTGTGTAATGCCATGTTCCTATCTGCAGTAACTGTGTAATGCCGGTTTCTGTCTGCAGGAACGGTATAATGCCGCGTTCCTATCTGCAGTAACTGTGCAATGCCTGGTTCCTATCTGCAGCAACTGTGTCATGTGTGGTTCCTATCTACAGAATCTTTGTAATTCGGGGATCCTATCTGCAGAATCTGTGTAATGTGTGGTTCCAATCTACAGAATCTGTGTAATGCCGTAATCCTCTCTGCAGTAACTGTGTAATGCCGGGTTCCTATCTACAGAAGCTGTGTAAACTGTGGTTTCTCTCTGCAGTAACTGTGTAATGTGTGGTTCCTACCTGCAGTAACTGTGTTATGCCGGGTTCCTATATGTAGTAACTGAACAATGCCTGGTTCATATCCGCAGCAACTGTGTCATGTGTGGTTCCTATCTACAGAATCTTTGTAATTCGGGGTTCCTATCTGCAGAAGCTGTGTAATGTGTAGTTCCTATCTACAGAAACTGTTGAATGCCGGGTTCCCATCAACAGAAGCTGTGTAATGCCGTGTTCCTATCTGCAGTAGCTGTGTAATGGGTGGTTCCTATCTGCAGTAACTGTGTAATTCCGGGTTCCTGTCTGCAGAAGATGTGTAATGTGTGGTTCCTATCTGCAGAAGCTGTGTAATATGTGGTTTCTATCTGTAGTAACTCTGTAATGCAGAGTTCCTATATGCAGAAGCAGTGTATTGCTTGGGTCCTATCTGTAGACGCTGTGTAATGTGTGGTTCCTATCTGCAGTAGCTGTGTAATGTGTGGTTCCTATCTGCAGTATCTGTGTAATATGTGGTTTCTATCTGTAGAAGCAGTGTAATGTGTGGTTTCTATCTACAGAAGCTGTGTAATGTGTTGTTCCTATCTACAGTAGCTGTGTAATGTGTGGTTCCTATCTGCAGTAAATGTGTAATGCCGGGTTATCATCTGCAGAAGCTGTGTAATGTGTAGTTCCTCTCTATAGAAGCTGTGTAATGCGTGGTTCCTATCTGCAGAAGCTGTGTAATATGTGGTTCCTATCTGGAGAAGCTTTGTAATGTGTGGTTCCTATCTACAGTAGCTGTGTAATGTGTGGTTCCTATCTGCAGTAGCTGTGTAATGTGTTGTTCCTATCAGCAGTAGCTGTGTAATGTGTGGTTCCTGTCTGCAGAAGCTGTGTAATGTGTTGTTCCTATCAGCAGTAGCTGTGTAATGTGTGGTTCCTATCTGCAGAAGCTGTGTAATATGTGGTTCCTATCTGGAGAAGCTGTGTGATGTGTGGTTCCTATCTGCAGAAGCTGTGTAATATGTGGTTCCTATCTGGAGAAGCTTTGTAATGTGTGGTTCCTATCTACAGAAGCTGTGTAATGTGTGGTTCCTATTTGTTCCTATCTACAGTAACTGTGTAATTCCAGTTTCCTATCTGCAGAAGCTGTGTAATGTGTGGTTTCTATCTGAAGAAGCTGTGTTATGTGAGGTTCCTATCTGCAGTAACTGTGTAATATGTGGTTCCTATCTGTAGACTGTATAATGTGTGGTTCCTATCTGCAGTAACTGTGTAATGCCTGGTCCTATCTGCAGAAGCTGTGTAATGTGTGGTTCATATCTGTAGAAGCTGTGTAATGTGTGGTTCCTATCTGCAGAAGTTGTTTAATGGGTGGTTCCTATCTCGAGTGGTATGCAACGTGGAACGTGGTATGCGTATGGACACAGTCAGTCCTTCCATCCGTGCTTCCGTCCATGGAAGACATCGTTTCCAGAAGAAATCTTGAAAACCGTACAATATGAGTTTATCAATCTTCATATATAGTTAGGTCTAGTGGCGAACTGGTGCCTGTAGAAGGTTTGGAATTTTTACAAAAGTATTTTTCGAGTTTCCATGTCAACAAAATGTTCATATATTATGTTTATTCATGACAAATATTTACCATTGCGGAGATTTCGCTGACTTCATCCTCTTGTTAATGTGACGATGTCTGTAACCCACAGGTATTTGGCGTCCTCCCAGTTGCAGCCAATAGATGCCCGTAAAGTCTTCCCATGTTTTGACGAGCCCGATTTCAAAGCCATATTCAAGGTCACAATCATTCATCAGCCAGGTAAGTCATATAATGGTGTCTCTCCTCAAAGGAATAGGACTGCTCGATCCATGTCTTGTTCAGAAAGTGGCACGTGACAGGGATACATCCATGTGTTGTTCACAAAGTGGCATGTAACAGCGATATATCCATGTGTTGTTCAGAAAGTGGCATGTGACAGTGATACATCCATGTGTTGTTCAGAAAGTGGTACGTAAATTGCTATATCCCTGTGTTGTTCAGAAAGTGGCTTGTCACAGTGATATATCCATGTGTTTTTTAGAAAGTGGCATGTGACAGTGATACATCCATGTGTTGTTCAGAAAGTGGTACGTAAATTGCTATATCCCTGTGTTGTTCAGAAAGTGGGATGTCACAGTGATACATCCATGTGTTGTTCAGAAAGAGATATGTCACAGGGATACATTCATGTCTTGTTCAGAAAGTGGGATGTCGCAGTGATATATCCCTGTGTTGTTCAGAAAGTTGTATGTCACAGTGATATATCCCTGTGTTGTTCAGAAAGTGCTATGTCACAGGGATACATCCATGTGTTGTTCAGAAAGTGGCATGTAACAGTGATATATCCCTGTGTTGCTCAGAAAGTGGAATGTCACAGGGATACATCCATGTGTTGTTCAGAAAGGTTAAACACACCTAGTACAAACATGATACTTAGACGTTGAGGAGACACTCTGTGTCGGGTTAAAAGAAAAACTCATATAAACATGATACTTAGACGTTGAGGAGACACTCTGTGTCGGGTTAAACACAACTAGTACAAACATGATACTTAGGCGTTGAGGAGACACACTGTGTCGGGTTAAACACACCTAGTACAAACATGATACTTAGACGTTGAGGAGACACTCTGTGTCGGGTTAAACACACCTAGTACAAACATGATATTTGGGCGCTGAGGAGACTCTCTGTGTCAGGTTAAAAAAAACACTCATATAAACATGATACTTTGGCGTTAAGGAGACGCTCTGTCTCGGGTTAAACACATCTAGTTAAAAGATGATACTTAGAGTGAGTGAGTTATGGTTTAAAGTCACATCGGCAATATTTCAGCAATATCGTGACTATGATACTTAGACGTTGAGGAGACACTCTGTGTCGGGTTAAACACACCTAGTACAAACATGATACTAAGGCGTTGAGGAGACACTCTATGTCGGGTTAAACACACCTAGTACAAACATGATACTTAGACGTTGAGGAGACACTCTGTGTCGGGTTAAACACACCTAGTACAAACATGATACTTAGGCGCTGAGGAGACACTCTGTGTCGGGTTAAACACACCTAGTACAAACATGATACTTAGACGTTGAGGAGACACTCTGTGTCGGGTTAAACACATCTAGTACAAACATGATACTAAGGCGTTGAGGAGACACTCTATGTCGGGTTAAACACACCTAGTACAAACATGATACTTAGGCGTTGAGGAGACACTCTGTGTCGGGTTAAACACACCTAGTACAAACATGATACTTAGACGTTGAGGAGACACTCTGTGTCGGGTTAAACACACCTAGTACAAACATGATACTTAGGCGTTAAGGAAACACTCTGCGTCGGGTTAAACACCCCTAGTACAAACATGATACTTAGACGTTGAGGAGACACTCTGTGTCGGGTTAAACACACCTAGTACAAACATGATACTTAGGCGTTGAGGAGACACTCTGTGTCGGGTTAAACACACCTAGTACAAACATGATATTTGGGCGCTGAGGAGACTCTCTGTGTCAGGTGAAAAAAACCACTCATATAAACATGACACTTTGGCGTTAAGGAAACACTCTGTGTCGGGTTAAACACACCTAGTACAAACATGATACTTAGACGTTGAGGAGACACTCTGTGTCGGGTTAAACACACCTAGTACAAACATGATACTTAGACGTTGAGGAGACACTCTGTGTCGGGTTAAACACCCCTAGTACAAACATGATACTTAGACGTTGAGGAGACACTCTGTGTCGGGTTAAACACACCTAGTACAAACATGATACTTAGACGTTGAGGAGACACTCTGTGTCGGGTTAAACACACCTGGTACAAACATGATACTTAGACGTTGAGGAGACACTCTGTGTCGGGTTAAACACACCTAGTACAAACATGATACTTAGGCGTTAAGGAAACACTCTGTGTCGGGTTAAACACCCCTAGTACAAACATGATACTTAGACGTTGAGGAGACACTCTGTGTCGGGTTAAACACACCTAGTACAAACATGATACTTAGGCGTTGAGGAGACACTCTCTGTCGGGTTAAACACACCTAGTACAAACATGATATTTGGGCGCTGAGGAGACTCTCTGTGTCAGGTGAAAAAAACACTCATATAAACATAAATACTTTGGCGTTAAGGAGACACTCTGTGTCGGGTTAAACACACCTGGTACAAACATGATACTTAGACGTTGAGGAGACACTCTGTGTCGGGTTAAACACACCTAGTACAAACATGATACTTAGACGTTGAGGAGACACTCTGTGTCGGGTTAAACACACCTAGTACAAACATGATACTTAGACGTTGAGGAGACACTCTGTGTCGGGTTAAACACACCTAGTACAAACATGATACTTAGGCGTTGAGGAGACACTCTGTGTCGGGTTAAACACACCTAGTACAAACATGATACTTAGACGTTGAGGAGACACTCTGTGTCGGGTTAAACACACCTAGTACAAACATAATACTTCGACGTTGAGGAGACACTCTGTGTCGGGTTAAAAAAAACACTCATATAAACATGACACTTTGGCGTTAAGGAGACACTCTGTGTCGGGTTAAACACAACTAGTAAAACATGATACTTAGGCGTTAAGGAAACACTCTGTGTCGGGTTAAACACCCCTAGTACAAACATGATACTTAGACGTTGAGGAGACACTCTGTGTCGGGTTAAACACACCTAGTACAAACATGATACTTAGGCGTTGAGGAGACACTCTGTGTCGGGTTAAACACACCTAGTACAAACATGATACTTAGACGTTGAGGAGACACTCTGTGTCGGGTTAAACACACCTAGTACAAACATAATACTTAGACGTTGAGGAGACACTCTGTGTCGGGTGAAACACACCTAGTACAAACATGATACTTGGGCGTTAAGGAGACACTCTGTGTCGGGTTGAACACACCTAGTACAAACATGATACTTAGGCGTTGAGGAGACACTCTGTGTCGGGTTAAACACACCTAGTACAAACATGATACTTAGGCGTTGAGGAGACACTCTGTGTCGGGTTAAACACACCTAGTACAAACATGATACTTAGACGTTGAGGAGACACTCTGTGTCGGGTTAAAAAAAACACTCATATAAACATGACACTTTGGCGTTAAGGAGACACTCTGTCGGGTCAAACACACCTAGTACAAACATGATACTTAGACGTTGAGGAGACACTCTGTGTCGGGTTAAACACACCTAGTACAAACATGATACTTAGACGTTGAGGACACACTCTGTGTCAGGTTAAACACACCTGGTACAAATATGATACTTAGGCGTTAAGGAAACACTCTGTGTCGGGTTAAACACCCCTAGTACAAACATGATACTTAGACGTTGAGGAGACACTCTGTGTCGGGTTAAACACACCTAGTACAAACATGATACTTAGGCGTTGAGGAGACACTCTGTGTCGGGTTAAACACACCTAGTACAAACATGATACTTAGACGTTGAGGAGACACTCTGTGTCGGGTTAAACACACCTAGTACAAACATGATACTTAGACGTTGAGGAGACACTCTGTGTCGGGTTAAACACACCTAGTACAAACATAATACTTAGATGTTGAGGAGACACTCTGTGTCGGGTTAAACACACCTAGTACAAACATGATACTTAGACGTTGAGGAGACACTCTGTGTCGGGTTAAACACACCTAGTACAAACATGATACTTAGACGTTGAGGAGACACTCTGTGTCGGGTTAAACACACCTAGTACAAACATAATACTTAGACGTTGAGGAGACACTCTGTGTCGGGTTAAAAAAAACACTCATATAAACATGACACTTTGGCGTTAAGGAGACACTCTGTGTCGGGTTAAACACAACTAGTACAAACATGATACTTAGACGTTGAGGAGACACTCTGTGTCGGGTTAAACACACATAGTACAAACATAATACTTAGATGTTGAGGAGACACTCTGTGTCGGGTTAAACACACCTAGTACAAACATGATACTTAGACGTTGAGGAGACACTCTGTGTCGGGTAAAACACACCTAGTACAAACATGATACTTAGACGTTGAGGAGACACTCTGTGTCGGGTTAAAAAAAACACTCATATAAACATGACACTTTGGCGTTGAGGAGACACTCTGTCGGGTTAAACACACCTACTACAAACATGATACTTAGACGTTGAGGAGACACTCTGTGTCGGGTTAAACACACCTAGTACAAACATGATACTTAGACGTTGAGGAGACACTCTGTGTCAGGTTAAACACACTTGGTACAAACATGATACTTAGGCGTTAAGGAAACACTCTGTGTCGGGTTAAACACCCTTAGTACAAACATGATACTTAGACGTTGAGGAGACACTCTGTGTCGGGTTAAACACACCTAGTACAAACATGATACTTAGACGTTGAGGAGACACTCTGTGTCGGGTTAAACACACCTAGTACAAACATGATACTTAGACGTTGAGGAGACACTCTGTGTCGGGTTAAACACACCTAGTACAAACATGATACTTAGAAGTTGAGGACACACTCTGTGTCGGGTTAAACACTCCTAGTACAAACATGACACTTTGGCGTTGAGGAGACACTCTGTGTCGGGTTAAACACACCTGGTACAAACATGATACTTAGACGTTGAGGAGACGCTCTGTGTCGGGTTAAACACACCTAGTACAAACATGATACTTAGACGTTGAGGAGACACTCTGTGTCGGGTTAAACACACCTAGTACAAACATGATACTTAGACGTTGAGGAGACACTCTGTGTCGGGTTAA